TCAGACTAGCCGGAGGGACTTGTATCCCTACCCTACCCTAGATCTAAGCCATGCATGAGTAGACCCAGTCATATACCTGATAGACCCCCCAAACCCAGTATCGTAGTTGTGKYACAGCGTATATGTTTGTGGCCAGAGGCTGTGTATGTTTGTATGAGCCCATAGGGCCATGTTTTYGTGTCTGCCCGAATGCTACGTGTGCTCTGTGTAACTGAATAGTGAGATATGTGTGCCTGACGGCCAGATATGTGCAGTACTATGTAGTGGGAACCATGTGTTTGCTTGAAGAGATGACAGGCCAAGCTGGACAAGAACCCCCCCCAAAGTCCCAAGCCAGACTCGAACCCGCCAGGCTCATTAAATTTTCTACAGGCCCAATTCAAAGAGTCTACCCACCAGGATTACCCAAGCAAGGCAGGCCAGCGTCCACGGACACATCGTACCGTCCTTCCCCTAGCTTACCCAAGGCTAGGCAGAACTCAGACTAGCCGGAGCGATTTGTATCCCTACCCAACCCTAGAGCTAAACCATGCGTGCGTAGACCCCGTCATATACCTCATAGACCCCCCCAACCCAGTATCGTAGTTGTGTGTATGTGTGTGTGGCCAGCGGCTATGTATGTTTGTATGAGCCCATAGGGCCATGTTTTTGTGTCTGCCCGGAGGCTATGTGTGCTCTGTGTAATTGTATAGCGAGATATGTGTGCCCGAAGGCCAGATATGTGCTGTACTATGCAGAGGGAAGTATGTGTTCGTTTGAAGAGATGACAGGCCAAGCTGGACAAGAACCCCCCCCAAAGTCCCAAGCCAGACTCGAACCCGTGAAYTATGSCATGTGACCTGAAGACTCTACCRTTTGAGCGACAATCCCAAACAGTCCGTGTGTGTGATACGCCAGACTGGGGAGATCAACAGAACAACCACAAGCAACCCAGGCAGTATCAAGACCCGACATACAACACCATGGACAACCCTTTGGGTGGTGCGCAGGCAGTGTCTGTATAAGCTTACTGTGCGTCAGCCCAAGGGGTGTCTGTCCAGCCGTGCGTCATTCTAAACGCCCTGCCGGTGTCCATGCGCAAGGCTGCAACTGAGTTTTGAACCCGCAACCTCATACCACAATGCGCATTTCCAATGTGTGCTCTAACCACTGAGCTACATCAACTGGACCACTCCAGGTCTTTCGAGGAAACGCTCGTGACAGGGGGGAGGATCTAATTTCTTCGAAATGACTTTCCACGCCGGCCAATCTGACACCATTCGAAACTTTTTCGAGAGAACTTGTTTCAAAAGGCTGTGTGGCAAAGACAYGGAATTGACTTTGCACGTCTCGAAAGCCTGTGGCGAGCCCCTAGACCTACCCAAATGCCTCAAAATTTTGAGACTTTTGGTCCTCGTGTGAGTATGCCCTAACTCTCGGGAGCACTCCCAATTTTTTTGGGGATTCGGGAGTTTGTGTGGCGAGGCTCTAACACTAGTAGAGGACAGGGGGGGTTGGGGTGCGCCAGGGCAAAACGATGAGAGGAAGGGGGGGTGGGGTCTTC